GGCATCGACTTCTCCCTCTCAACCCAGTCTGCCCATCGGGCCTTAGCCCGGACGGCCCGTTCCCTCGGAGCCCTCAGGCTCATGTCCTTCTCTGTCGGCTTCACCCGCTTCATCATCTCAAGCCACCCCGAAACCGCCAAGGAGATACTGAGCAGCTCTGCTTTCGCCGACCGCCCGGTCAAGGAGTCGGCCTACGAGCTCCTGTTCCACCGGGCGATGGGCTTCGCTCCTTTCGGCGAGTACTGGCGCAACCTCAGGAGGATCTCTGCTACGTACTTGTTCAGCCCGAGGAGGGTCGGCGCGTTCGGGGACGACAGGAAACGGATTGGGCTGAAAATGGTGGATGAGGTGAGGGATTTGATGGGGGGAGGTGGGGAGGTCGAGGTTAGGAGGGTGTTGCATTTTGGGTCCTTGAGCAATGTCATGGCTAGTGTTTTCGGGAAAAGGTTCGATTTCTGGAGAGGGGAAGGGTTGGAGGTCGAGGAATTGGTGAGGGAGGGGTACGAGCTTCTTGGGTTGTTCAACTGGGGGGATCACTTGCCATTTTTGGGGTGGTTTGATTTGTTTGGGGTTAGGAGGAGGTGCAGGTGTTTGGTGGGGAGAGTGAATGCGTTTGTGGGGAGGATTATTGAAGAGCATAGAGAGAGGAGGGTTGATGACGGGGGTTTTGTTGATGGAGATTTTGTTGATGTTTTGCTCGGTTTGGAGGAGGAGGAGGAGGAGGAGAGGCTCTCTGATTCTGATATGATTGCCATTCTCTGGGTAAGATTTTTCAGGATATTTTGTTAAGCTTGCTGTTTGTTAATGGCGTGTTTAAGTATTAATTGTCTAAGACTAATTTAATCGTTTTTGTTTGTTTCTAGTGTTATTATTGCCTGACAGCCAACTTTGCATGGGGCTTTTTTTTTTTCGTTTTTGGTTTCAGGAGATGATATTTAGGGGGACTGATACAGTGGCCATCCTCTTGGAATGGGTAATGGCCAGACTGGTTCTTCATCCTGAAATCCAATCCAGAGCCCAGTCTGAGATCGATTCAGTCGTCGGGTCCAGACCCGTTACTGACCCCGATATCGCCAACCTCCCTTACTTGCAAGCCATTGTGAAAGAGACCTTGAGGGTTCACCCTCCAGGCCCTCTCCTCTCCTGGGCTCGTCTCGCTGTCCATGATGTTCAAGTTGCAAATCACTTCATTCCTGCGGGTAATTGTTTCTTTATACATAATTATCATGTGTAACTCTGTAATTTGGATGTTTGGTTGAAAATCAATCTCAGACCATAATAGAATTTTAGACAGAATGTCTGATAAGCAAGCAAATCGGATATGTAATTTGCAGGCACTACCGCGATGGTCAACATGTGGGCCATCACCCACGACGAGAAGATCTGGTCGAGGCCCGCTGACTTCGATCCAGAGAGATTCATGGTGGAGCAGGTGAGCGTTTTGGGCTCGGACCTGAGACTGGCTCCGTTTGGATCTGGGAGGAGAGTTTGCCCCGGGAAAGCAATGGCCTTGGCCACCGTCCATCTCTGGTTGGCTCAGATGCTTCAGGGTTTTAAGTGGTTGCCTACCGATAATGGTGTTGATTTGGATGAATGCTTGAAGATGTCACTTGAGATGAGGAACCCTTTGGTCTGTAGGGTTGTTCCAAGGTCATGATTTTAGTGTAAAACTTAGTAGATTATTAGGGGCTTGTTAATGTTCTTGTGTGATTGTGTGGATTTTCAATGTTTTTGTTTCTGTATGTTTTGCTCTATATATGGTGTGCATGTACATGTAAGAAAAATGGGTGGTCTCCTGTAAGGAAGTTGTTTTATGCAATTTATACTGTTTTTGTGATCCACAAGAACTCAGTTTTAATGGGCTTAATTAATAAATGCGTGTGAGCCATTTGTATAATTC